ACATACATACATACATACATACGATACATACATACATACATACATACATACATACATACATACATACATACATACATACATACATACATACATACATACATACATACATACAAACAAACATACATACATACATACATACATACATACATACATACATACATACATACATACATACATACATACATACATACATACATACATACATACATACATACATACATTACATACAACATACATACATTACATACATACATACATACATACATACATACATACATACATACATACATACATACATACATACATACATACATACATACATACATACATACATACATACATACATACATACATACATACATACATACATACATACATACATACATACATACATACATACATACATACATACATACATACATACATACATACATACATACATACATACATTACATTACATACATTACATACATTACATACATACATACATACATACATACATTACATACATTACATACATACATACATACATACATACATACATACATACATACATACATACATACATTACATACATACATACATACATACATACATACATACATACATACATACATACATACATACATACATACATACATACATACATACATACATACATACATACATACATACATACATACATACATACATACATACATACATACATACATACATACATACATACATACATACATACATACATACATACATACATACATACATACATACATACATACATACATACATACATACATACATACATACATACATACATACATACATACACACATACATATATGCATGCATACATACATATATACATACATACGAGAGAGGGAGATTGGGAGAGAGTGGCTTGGGGGGATGGGGAGGATGGGGAGCGGAGGGAGGGAGAGAGGACGACAGAACACACCAGGGAGACAAGGGAGAGAGGAAGAAGGAGAAAAGGGAGAGGACAATGTCGGCGGACTGAGCCGGAGGCTCTAAAGTTATGGTTACGTACCTGGCCCTGGGCTCAAGAAACCGCGGCTTAGGGGAAGGACACATCGAAGGTGTGCGTTATGCCCTTGGAAGAATTACTCACCCAGCCATACCTGCACTCGTGCTGGTCACCTGCTTTTAATTGCTGCCTCTCGGAATGCATTGGCTCGCATGCATCATGTCACAGAGCAGAAACATTTAAGCTGTATGCTAACTCCACCCAGTTGCGGGGCTAACCTGATATTCAAGCAGGCGCAACACTCCTGACCTCTTCAACACCAACCCAAACAACCATCCAAGCATATGTGCCGAACTTAGAAACGGGTCCCTTCCTCCACATGGAAATCCTCTTATAAGGCTGACTGGCTAAGCATCTGTCTCTTCACCAAGTGTCCTGATCCGGCCAAAAGCCGGACCTGTCTCCATGCCTTGGGGGCTTCTTGCAAACAATGCAGCTTCCAGAAGGCATTGGCTTCATTATCGGTCCCCCGTCCAAAGGATGCAGGAACTCAAGTAGGATTTGCAAAACCAAGGAGATCACTTTCGGCGGGTCCCAGTTTTGTATGAACAGATTTTGGGGGTCCAAGTTTTTGGAGGGTCTCAGATTTGGGAAGTCCCACTTTTGGGAGTAACCCACAAAGGATCTCAGCCAGTTTTTCCAAATCCCCCGAATCGAAGGTCCTGCGGGATGGAGGCCCAGGCGGCCCTGGAGAAGAAGTCGACTTTGCGAAACCATCGACACCGCCCGCAGAAATGGTGGTGTAAACGAAAACCACCCCCCAGTAGATTTGAGAGGTTCAACATGTTGACTTGGGACCCAGTTAAAGGGACCCTCTAACAAACATGGAACCCAAGAAGTTTAAAGGAGTCTTTTGCAAATACGTTTCAACTGTTGTTTTCTTTGTTTGCTCGTTTGTTTGTTTTTTTTTGGCTTCTTTTGATTGGTTTGCTTGTTTTGTTTTTTGCCTTTTTTCTGTTTCACAAACTAAAATGGTCTTCCCCAAAAAAAACTCTGACAGTCCGGGCACTCTGGAAGTGAGGAACCTGCCTGCAGCCTTCAAACTCCCATCGGCCGGAACGGACGCAAGGTATGTGCAAGCTTCGTGTCACGCTGCCTACCGCCATGGCGGGGACAAGACCTCCGACACCTTGCCGATGAAAACAGTGGCTTGGCCGTTATAGACCTCCAGTGGCCCCCAAGGGGTTGCTTCATATTCTAAAGGAAACCCCGTGCAACGAGAAAAGGGCAAAGAAAAGGACAATTCGGAGCATCACAACAAGAAGGGAACACGGCAACCCCAAATGTCCTCTTGGAAAACACATGGGGCTAGCAAGGATTGAAACCAATCTGACATCATCCATCAACCTTCAATCAAACTAACTTTAGAGGAACACTTATGAAGGCAAGAGAAAATCGGGTACCCCCTTCACAGGTTAGTTCTGAAGCACCCAAAAGGAAACCCCAGAGGCCCACCCACCACCAGGCCCCCCTATAAGACAAAGAAGGGGTGCACCCTGCCCGAAGCGCGCCAACCCTCGCCTCTCCAGTTCTTCTTCCAGCAGTTGAAAGCTTGCCAGGGGCCGGTCGCTGCTGTGCCAGGTAGCAATACCTGGCCAAGGCCCCGTTGAACAAACCATCAGGGGTTGGTGGTCAAATACCGATAGTCGCTGTTCATGATTAGACTTCGGCCCAGTGATACAATATGTACATATATAGTATATTGTTTGCTGCACTTTCAGTCACTGGTACAATGTAACATGTATCCTAAGTCTACCCCAGTATTAGGCTGCAATGGCTCTTCCGGCTATGCCTCTAAACCAATATATTATGAGTATACAGGAAAGACGGGAAGAATCCATTTTCAATGAATCACCCCAATACATTAGTTGGTGATAGGGTAGTTTCAATTCAACACGGATCAAAAGGCCAAATGCAAAAACAGGAGCCAAGGCCAGGATTGCTACGGTGTTGGTCGCGCCCGAGGCTTGCGCCAGAAGCAAAGCCACAAATACTAACAGCACGAAAGGATTCAGATTGCAAGAAACTGGAAGAATCAAAGAAAGACGGCACACAACACACAAAAAGCACAAAACAAAGAACAAACACCAGCTAATACACACAGAAACAAAGGAAGCAGCAAAGGAGGCAAGAAACAATCAGAGAAAGAAAGAAAGAAAGACAGAAAGAAAAAAAAAGAAAGAAAGGAAGGAAGGAAGGAAGGAAGGAAGGACGGAAGGAAGGAAGGAAGGACGGAAGGAAGGAAGCAAGAAGGAAAGGACGAAAGGAAGAAAGGATAAAGTAAGAAGGAACACAGGCGATAACCCAACACAAAATAAGAGGAGTGAACATAACAGTAAGGGAACGAGAGTGAGAGAGACAAAGAGAGAGAGAGAGAGAGAGAGACCAAAGCTGTTTCCATTGGCACATTTCCCATCGGTTAGTTCCCTGATCACATTGCCATCCTTAGGCCATGGTTGGAGTGGCAGTTTGCAGAGGAAACCTCAAAAGCACACCTCAACACCAACCAATCTCAATCTCCGCACTTTAACAAGTCTCCACTGGCCTGCCAGCTCAGCGTAGGCACCCTCTCCCGAGACGCTGCCGCCCTTGGAATAAATCAGCCGCTCAATGAATAGCGTCATGGCATCCTGTGTCAAAGCAGAAGAGACATGAGCATAGGTGACCTTTTGGAAAAATGGATGGCCCTGGTAAATGCAATAAAACCAATCTAAACCAGTGCCAACTGTTTCTTGTGACATGTCCCCTGGGCCGTGGCAATGGTTCAATCAATCGGGTTTTCTGCACATCATGGCCCGCCAGCCGACCCTGTTCAGAGCCGCAGTTTCAAAATAAAAGGCTTGCAATATCAAAAACCAATGTGCCAGTCTTAGTCGTACCAATCCATCGCAAGGGAACTGTCCGGTACGAACATTCTTCTGGACTCCTATGACTCATTTGGTTTTAAAATATCCCACAACCCCGCTGCAACGTTTCAAGCGCTTGCCCAGCTTTGGAGGAAATGAATGGGGCAGCCTGGAAGGAGCATCCTTCTGGTGTGCCGCGAGTGCTGGAATCATACTGCGGGCCCTCTCAATATTGCAAGTAAAGAAACAAGTTGCAGATCTTCATGATTTGCCGCAGTTTACCCAGAATCCTTCGGATGTACCGCAATTGGCCGGTTCAGTTTGCAATATGTGCACAACCCTACCTTCGTGGCCATGCAGTCCGTGTGGCAGGACGTGTCTTATCGACAGGCAACTATTCTGACTTCCGTTTGCCATCAGACGGGACTGCCGAAATCAAAGGGGACGACCAACTTGAGGTTTGTTTGTCCTATCACTGATTGAATGATTGAAATCGGGACTTGGCAGGTCGCATCCGAGGCTCTAATTACTGGGAACCATTGCAACCTCGCCCCTTCTTGCACTGGCAAGCGAGAGAGGCTGCTATCGCTTGCCAACACGGGAGGTTGAGCTGCTTCAAGTTGGCGCCCTTTTTTGACCATCATCCCCAAACACGTTCAATCGACCGATCAATCATATCCAATCGACATGAGTCAAGGAGGCTCTAAGTCTTCTTCATTCAAGCTTGGACGAGCTGGCTTCAGGTCTTGGTGTGTCTTGTTTGTGGTATTGTTTCAGGGGAATCAAAAGGGAAACCCGAATGGAGCAATCATTCCAAGTACCTGTTTGGAGACACACGCTTCTTTGTCGTGACCCAATGCCCCAAACAAAGGTGTTTGATTCATTCAGTCGCCCGGCATCAACCCGATGGACCAGCCCCGGAAGGGTGCCCCAAAAGTTCTGCTCCTTGTCTCGAATGCCGGCAACCAACTTGTAGCCTGGCCAAAGGCTTTCAGAGTGCCAAGGCAGCTCCTTCAAATATAAGCACCTGTCACTGAACAGTTGCACGGTGTACCAAAAACGGGCACGTGACTTTTGTCTGGTGTTGAAAGACAACTCCAAATGAAACCAGACACTTCCGCAGGGCTCATTGCTTGGGGACACCATTTGCTCACTTGTTGAGCAAACGTGAAGTGCTGGTCGCTAAAAGTCAGACACGTGAAGAAAGAAGAGACAGGCCGCCTCCCATTCCCAAATCCCAGTTGTCCTTTGAACAAAAACAGCTATATATATATATATGTATATATGCATACATATATATATACACACATATATATAGATACACACACACACATATATATATGCGGTTATTTAGCCGCAACAACACATGTATCCGTCCGTTTGGTGGCTATGGACTCACTTACACACACAACTGTCAATGTGTATGTATATGTGTAGTAGTATATGTATGTGTATATGTGTATATGTGTATATGTGTATATGTATATGTGTATATGTGTATATGTGTATATGTGTATGTGTGTATATGTCCAGATGTGCATATACGTATGTGTCTAAGTGTGTATGTGAGTGTATGTGTGTATATATATATATGTGTATGTGTATGTGTAATTGTCCAGATGTGCAAATACGTATGTGTCTAAGTGTGTATGTGAGAGTATGTGTTTATATATATATATAAATCTATATTTATATGTGTGTGTGTATGCGTGTGTGTGTGTGTGTGTGCGTGTGCGTGTGCGTGTGCGTGTGCGTGTGCGTGTGTGTGTGTGTGTGTGTGTGTGTGTGTGCGTGGGTGTGTGTGTGTGTGTGCCTGTGTGCGCGTGTGCGCATGAGTGCGTGCGTGTGCGTGTGCGTGTGCGTGTGCGTGTGCGTGTGCGTGTGCGTGTGCGTGTGCGTGTGCGTGTGCGTGTGCGTGTGCGTGTGCGTGTGCGTGTGCGTGTGCGTGTGCGTGTGCGTGTGCGTGTGCGTGTGTGCGTGTGTGTGTGTGTGTGTGTGCGTCTGTGTCTGTGTCTGTGTCTGTGTGTGTGCAGGTGTGTGTGTGTGTGTGCACGTGTGTGTGTGTGTGTGCAGGTGTGTGTGTGTGTGCACGTGTGTGTGTGTGTGTGTGTGTGCGTGTGTGCGTGTGGGTGTGTGCGTGTGTGTTTGTGTGTCAGTGTGTCTGTGTGTCTGCGTGTGTCTGTGTGTGTCTGTGTGTGTCTGTGCGTGTGTGTCTGTGTGTGTGTCTGTGTGTGTGTATTTGTGTGTGTGTCTGTGTGTGTGTGTGTGTCTGTGTGTGTTTGTGTGTGTGCGTATGTGTGTGCGTGTGTGTGTTTGCGTGTGTGTGTGTGCTTGTATCTGTGGGTGTATGTGCGCATACGTGTAGGTTATGCCATGTAGTTCAATGCAATGCGATGTAATGCGATTACATGCCTGCCAACTTTGCATGAGTTCCAGAACCGGAAACGGACATAATGGAACCTCAAGCGCGCCGCATAGGCATACATGTAGGACAACCTACGTGCCCACAATTCCAGATAGATATATACATATACATGTATATATATATATATATGCAGTATATAAATATATGTGTGTGTGAATATGGTATAAATAAAGAGGTGTGTATATATATATATATATATGTCTATATATATATATATACATTTCAGTGTGAACCATCGGTTCGCCTGAGCCCTTCACATCGGGGCTTGTGTCATCCTTGAGCGACAATTCCCCGCGGAGGTTGGTGACTCATGTACCGAAATGTCTTGGCTTTGCATGCAATGACATGTATATATATATATGATACCCCCTATGTGTGTGTGTGTACCAATCAGTTCTCCAGCCTGTCTCGTTGAGGGACGCGTCCTTGGCCACCGCCGACACCCTGCCCCGGGGGCTGGACGCTGGCGAGCTCCGGGCCTCTCATGTCGTGGGTCACAAATTGGAGCTTTTGAGGAAAAAATGGGGGTGTTGCTCAAAATTGAGGACCTTGTTAGGGTGGTGGTTTCCGTTTGGCTCCCCTTTAAAAGCCAGCCAAAAGGGGGTGCATTTTGAGAAACCCCTATAGGAGACCAAAAAGGGAACATGCGCAGGGTGTATGTCCGCACTTTGTTCTTTGCCTCGAAAAAAGGAGCCTTTGTTTCAACCCGAGGCGCATGGGAAAATACCCATACCATCCATCCTGCTTGGGTTTCCTATTTGGATTAAACAGAATGGGCCAGGCATGCCTTTAAAGGACTGACTAGACCCATGGAAGTGGATGTGCCGAGTTAGCCCCAGGGCTTCGACCCCCGCCAAAAGCCCCGCGGCCCCAAGTAATGGAATTGAGTCTGGTCCCTTGAATGTTAGCAAAGCGAAACATGTTGTGTAGATAATGCCAAAACAGATTCCCAGGATTGCGCCCCTCCCCCCCCCCCTTTGTTTTTTTTTTTTGGGGGGGGGGACCAGGTGATCCAACGAAGCGTCTCCGACTCTGAGCCTTGGCCATCTGGGAAAAAACGTTGCCGGCGAGACCCATGCCCTAGGACTGGGAGCGTCGGAAGTTTGGGTTGGGCTTTGGGCTTTGGATTCTTGGGCGGTGCCTTTTTGCGTGTTTGGCATGGTCATAACCCGGTATCTCGGCTTCTTGCTATGAATGTTACAAAGTGCGCTTGGTTCAATCGGGGAGTAGGATGGCCGTGCCAGAGACATCGGATTGCAGCGCACGGCTGTGCTCCATACTCCTGATTTCAACTCCCATGAGCTAAGGCCCAAAGCAATGGATTTGTTTGATCCTTCAAAGGATTCCACTCCGGCACAAGGCTGTGCAGGCCCAAGCGGGGGAGCTCGGGGCCGGACGTGCAAGAACAGGTGCGGGGACACTCATTTTGCCTGTACTACTTGGTGTACGCGGGGAGAAGGCAGATAGCAGGATCACCTTCACGTGGATAGATTGTGCCATCTACTTTCACCCAAATGAGGCTGTTCCGAGCTCAGCTGAGGCTGTCGATCCTGAAAACTGAAACACATGTTCTTCAATAGTAATTATTGAAAAAGAACTGGAAAACAGGTTCTTCAATAATAATTATTGAAAAACAAAGGAAAACATGTTCTTGAATAATAATTAGTGAAAACACTGAAAAACATGTTATTCAATTATAATTATTGGAAAACAAAACTGGAAAACATGTTCAATAATAATCATTGAAAAAACTGGAAAACATGTCTTCAATAATAAGTGTTGAACAAAACTGGAAAACATGTTCAATAATAATTATTTAACAAACTGGAAAACATGTTCTCCAATAATAATTATTGAAAAAAACTGGAAAACATGTTCTTCAACAATAATTCTATAAAAAACACACTGCACAACATGTTCTTCAATAATAATTATTGAAAAAACTGGAAAACATGTTCTTCAATCATACTTCTTGAAAAACAAACAAACTGGACAACTTGTTCTTCAATAGTAATTATTGGAAACAAACTGGAAAACATGTTAACTTCAATAATAATTATTGGAAACAAACTGGAAAACATTTTCTTCAATAATAATTCTAATAAAAAAACACTGCACAACGTGTTCTTCAATAATAATTATTGAAAAAACAACTGGAAAACATGCTCTTCAATCATCTCCCAACCAAAAAATGTAAGATTTGGAGCTTTGAGAAAGGAACCCTCAATCCCTGGAGGTCGCATTTCACCCTAACGGTAAAATCCAGAATCGCTCCTGGTCAAGTGTTCAGCCCGGATGAACCCTGGCAGATGTGGAGTGTGTCCCGCGAAAGTGAAGGATGCTGTCCAAAATGGAACACCCCATCATTCATCCACCAGGGGTTGTATATTATATATGTATACATATATATATATATATATATATATATGTACGTATGATGGGTGCTTATTAATCCTGGTTCCCATGACTGTAGTCAGACCCAGCTTTCCTTGCGTCCCAGCTGCAGTAGATGCCATGCTCGCAAAGTCGGAATCACCAGATGCCTCCAAAGCAAGGCATTTGAGTCAATTATCGTAATTCACCGACCTGAAATACGGACTACCAGTGGGAACTTTCACCATGAGGTCGCCCACCCCACTCTGAGTCTTTGATTCGCCCTTTTCGGCATCTCACAGGACGCCTGATATCAATCCAGGATGTTTCTCTATGAGGATGATTCTCGGAGTTCAAGTCGTTTTGGGCTGATCGAGCCGTCAGGGGCCAGCCCAAAAACGACAGAGACATACCAAGCAAAACAACCGACATGTATGAACCACTACACGCAGCTAACAGGTACCAACAGAGATAGCCCATCAAAACAAACACGAACAACCCAACAACATCATCAGAACAAAACATTTGAACAAGCACAACGGCTAGCCAGCCAACTAGCACGCACACAAATCGGCCAAACATTCCGGTGGCAAAGGGCCGCTCCGTAGACATCTCGCAATGAACACTTCGGAGTACGGAGAAATCCACTGCCATGCCGTGCACCTGTTCAACATGAGCTCTGCGCCTGGGCCTTTCAGCTGAGTGTCATACCAGGGCTTGACAATATGGTCTTCCAGGGCCTCCCAGCTTCCGTGTTGGGGAAAAACTGGCTGTGAGCATTCAGCGGTCGAATGCATTGACAACTATGAAACCATGCAGAAAGCAACTTGGCTGCTGACATACTCTCAGATTCCTTGTTGCCTACGCCCCCCCGAACCAAACCCACCTGGTGAATAGTATACTCTTTCTGAAGAGCAACTCGAAGAAACTGGGTCTATTGAAGCTTGACATTCATGATGCAATTCGGAGATGACCAAAGTTGTGTTCAGGCACTGAAAACACACAGTTGCACTAAACTGCAGGGCAGGCTGCGGGCTTTCCTGGATTCCTCCCTCGACTTTGATAATATGCAACATGCAAATATATGGGAAGGACATGAAAAGTGTTGGATCCCAAAATTGGTAGGTCAGAAAGTTGGGCCAAAAACCATCGCCGGCTTCGAAGAAATAAAAGGCATTGGCACCAAGAGGACTACGATGGGTTTTCATGTGGGTTTCTCCACGCTCGGAATTCCTGTCACGGGTCATGAGCCGGGCCATCGTAAGATGTTTTCAATCACCAGCCCCCCAAATGTTTCGCTCCGCACCCCGTAATATTGGCGTATCCTCCAGATTCGAAGCGGAAACTAGATGCCCCCGCAAATCAACCAGCTAGTTGATCAACTTGCCCCCGTTGTTCATTCAACCAGCGCTTCAACCCCGGGCTTTCCTTTTGGGATTCAATCAAGAAGCACGGACTCATCTGCGTTCCCCACCTCGGAGTAGGCCCTCTTTACCGACACGGAGGCTTCCGAGCCCTGACGCCGTTTTCTGGGGAAACCACCGGGCTCACTTATCCCCACGAAAACACAGAGGAAACTCAAATCCGAAAGGTGCTGAAAGCCAGCAAACAAGGGAAAGATTGGCCCTGAGTCGAACAACCTTCAATTTCGGGTGTTCCCAGAATCCTGACTCTGGGTCAAATATGATATTGTACTAGTTCACCAACCCAAAACAAAGGTCCCTAGCGTCCTGAAGGTGCCGACCAGTGTATGGGGATGCACGGGAAGATGGCCAATACTTGGGGCAGGTGCCCGGGTATCCCCTTTCATATGCTGGGTGAAGGGTGAAGAGAAAATGGCAGGAAACGGGTTCTAGGATGCGGCCCATTCTGCCAGCGTCGAAGTGAGTCAGCGCCACTCACACTGACAAAGTAACAACCAGAAACGTTGGTGGATAGCAAGACCGCATCACAGTGTAGGTGGTGCAATAGTGAAGAGCAAGGGATGCTTACATTTAAATAATATTTGGTTGATGGCGTCTAGTATGCTGAACTGAACCTGGCGCGCAACTTGGGTTGGCGTTGGTTTGTAGCAGGGATGGCAATCAGAACCTCAGAATAGGTCTTGGGCTTGACTAGTTGGGCTGATGATTTGGGCTGACCTGGGCGTTTTCAGGCGCGCGATAGGTCGTAGGGCTGTTGAGGGGTTTGGTTTGGGCAGGCTACGGTCGGGGGTGCGCCGGCCTGACTTGCCCTTTCACCACCCCAAAACACCGTAGAATCTCTCTTTCAAGGGGTCTGGTTCCTTATGTTCAGCCCGAACAAGCAGACAAGGAAGTCAAAGCAGGTTTCATGTGCTCCATAGCTCTTCATGTTTAGTAAACAAATGCGAGGAGGGTTCATTGAATCTTCCAAATCAGGTATCGCCCCTCTTGCAAACAATTTTGGCCCAATTTCAGCATAAACAAATACAACGTTCAGATTCCGTGTTCGCAGGGCTGTGGGAAATGACCACTTCTGTGATACTGTGGATGGACGAAATCCTGCACCACCTAAGCAACCCTAGAATGATATGATCCCCTGTAAATACCTACAAACAACGGCTTTTCATGGTGTCTTGGGCGGTGCGGAATGGATTTTATCCATCCACAGTACGACAGAAACTCCCCAAAGACTAACTCATGGGGGCTGGGGGGGAGGGGGGGGGGGAGGGGCCCCAAAAACCCTTGTAGACCTTGTTAAGGCCTTATTTCGCGCTTATTTGGGCTCCCTCCCCCTCCCCTCCCTGCCCCCCAGCCCCCCAAAACTAACCCCCCCCTCACTTCAGCGCCCCGCCGTTTGTTGTCGCAGCTCTCGGAACTTCTCAGGCGCCGGGGACCTGCGAAGCTCGGATCGGTGCAGGTCGAAGTCGGGCGAAGCGAGCGAGGCTTGCTGAGTCCATCTGCATGTTTGTGCAACAAAGCAAAGGACCTACTCAGTTGACCATTTGGCTAAATTCGCAAATTTTGCTACACAAGTAGGAACCTTTTGCTACAGCTGAATCCCCAAGTAAAAGACCTGTATCATGGTGAGCTCGGTGTACATCCCAGGTGAGCTCGCTATAAATTAGGCAGTTTTTTCATTCGGAAAGCAGGTCCCTTGCATAGGATGACCAGTATAAACAAAACCACTGAAAGATGCTATGTACCACTAAATGGGAAAAATTACCCATGGTCATTTGGGCCCAGAAATATTGATGAACCCCGCCCCACCACTTTCGCATGGGAGATGGATAGGGCACAATTGTAGACCCCAATTGGAATAGTATCTTCTAGTGTATAAAGTGTTTTCCTAATTCAGGATCCTGTGACTGTTTTTTTGGGGGTCCTCTATTGTAGAAAGTTTGTTTGCCGGGAGGAAAAAACAAACGTTGCAAAAACCTGGGCCAAAAAAACTTGGCAAACACGTCGGGCGAACATTGGTAAGTCCTTTGTTTGAAGTGGTCCCCAAACCATCAATTTTAAGATAACTTCTTTACACAAAAATAGGGGCAAACAGTCACACAAAGGGGTTGCCCACTAGAGGCCCTGATCCTCTTTAATGTGACTGTTTTCGGGCCAACTTTAGTGTCTATCCTTTTTGGGGTTGCTGAAAAAACGATCCTTGGAAATACTGAAGCAGACTTGGCAATACTAAAGAAAGTACTGGGAATGGGAGAGTCAGTCTTGGCAATACTAAAGTAGAGTTGGCAATACTAACGTAAGTACTGTCCCTCCCAGACCTCCCGCATTTTCGCTAAAGAGGGTCCAGCTGACTGGTTCCAGTGTTCCGGGGGGGAGCCGTATACCCCCAACAAGTGATGCTTAAGATCATACCCCCAACAACCATATAAGTTTCTCCTTTGATTCTCCTTTGAACATTCACCCTTCTCAACGACACACCGCATTAAAAGGCCCAACAAGTGATGCTTCAGATAATCAACAGCGAAAATATGGGGAATCCCGTTTGAGGAATCTGCTCTTGAAGAAACCTCGCCGTTTTTGAATTCCAGCATTTTTGCAGGGTAGAGACCGTAAAGCCAGCTTGGCCCCGTTAGACGAAGTCGATCTAATTGTTACTTAGCTTCACAGTTGCAGGAAAGGCAACTTCTGTGATACCAAAGCGGCTGATTCCCATCCCTATGACTGCTTCGGCAGCGATATGTGATTCTTTCAAAAAAGGAGGTCCCTGCTGTTCCCACAACTAAGTTCTTGATCCCGCCTTTCTGCCTCTTGGTATCTTCATACACCAAGAAAACGGTTAGTATTTCGGGCATGCTGTTTGTAACCCCCAAAATAACGAAAGGGGATCAACCACAAGGGGGTCTCTGTCTCAATCCCCTCAACTTGCAAACTACTTAAACCCTTCAAAACGTGGCCAACCTGGTTCATTGGGACAAAGCGCACGGGGCCATTCTGCTGATTTGCTTTGGTCGAACAACAGCGCTACGGACATAGCATTGCTGCGCCCTCTCGAAGGGCGAAGGCTTGGGGGGTTAGAGAGGGCAACATGTTGGGCAACCTCGAAACTCCAAAGCTCGGCCGCTCCGACTGGGCTTCCGACCCGACATCAAGTGATTCCCTTGGCTTCCTTTTGCATCCGGAAATGGAGGTAAAATTTGACACGTCGTTCGATATCGCGAGTCCGCCGGGGACTCCCAACACGGTGCCTACCCTCTATTTTCGGCACGGAAAGGCCTTCACCTTTGCAAAAGGAAAGCCCGGTCACCGGGCGTTCCGCACTTTGTGGAGTGGCTTCTGACTTTTCAGGACTCCCGTTCTTTACCCGTTTGCATCACCCCACTTAAAGGACACTCAGTTGAGATTGGCCAAATGCTGCTGTTGAAAACCATCAAAAAGGAAACATATTGGGAGTCCGGTACTTCCCAAACTGGACCTTCAGGTGACAGGTAAAGCTGTTCTCGCGCCTGCTTTCAGGTTCCGACTCCTGAGCAGAAAGTCAACGAAAAATCATGAGAGCCCAAAATGCCAGGGACTGGTTAAGGTGACTCAACAAAATAGAACAGTTGTCAAGTTGGACATCTGCGTGCCTCCAATTTTCACGAAGGCCGGATTCGAATCAGAGGTGATCTCCCCCAAAAGGGATCGTGATGCCCTTTGTGATGGCTGTGCTGGCTCAAAATTAAAGACGACCTTTGATCTATGGCCTTTGCTTTGGTTGCTGTCTTGCGGAGCCGTGCCCTGACCGGCTTTCTCAAGCATGTCGGATGGCGGCTGGTATTCCCAAGTCAGTGGCTCCGCTCCCAAAGCTAGCAGGCTACGGCTCAGTGCAGTGCTGCGGGCTGCGTTTGCGGGGTGCATTCAGCGACCAATTTAGGCGTTTGTGTTAGCCCATACCACAGAATGATAGTCTGATCATTTCCAAGCTGGCAGCACAAGACCCTAAGGTTACTATCGCCAGATGTCCCACAAAAGGAAAAACAAAGGCGTCCCTGAAAAGCCTGACTCTCGGAGTCAACATTGATGCTCTAATTACCCAACGGGGCTCCCTATCCCCCTGTAACGTTCCCAAAAGGAAGCTCATCTCAACGTTCCGCAAGTGATGTTTGAGCTGGCTCAAAATGGACACGGCTGGCGGCCCCAAACCGCATTGTCGATCGGTCTGCCGTCCTTCCCGCGACCGCCGCAGCAGATCTGCCCCATGGCTACGACCGAAACCAATTGTTTGCTCACGTCAACCACCGTAGGATGTGATCCGATCCGGGTGTGCTTAAAATAGCGTGCCAGTGCGAGACGTTTTCCATGGAGAGTGAAGTTCTTTGTCAGGACTGTCAGAAGCTGTGGATAGGCTCAAAGCCTGAGTTGGCTGCAGATGGGGCAGACTTGGAAAGGCGAGCAAGCACTCAGTCTCCAGGTCGGAAGTGAGGTGTGGCATCGCTGCTCCAAAAGCGTTTGTTTGCCACACGAGGCATCCCACATGAGACCAGGGCTCCACAAGAATCGAATCCGTCGCACGACGCATCACCCAATCCTCAAAATGCCCTCAACGGAATGTGCCGGATCCCAGAGGCCCAACCATCCGCACACGGCGTCATGTGGTGGTCGCCTCTCTCAAATTGGCGCGAACCGGGGGGGGGGGGGGGGATTCATGTATTTCGGTTTGGTTCAAGAGGGCAAATCTGGACCATTGAACCCGTGTAACCGGTTCCTATGACACTTTGCCAACCATTTCGAGTCAATTTGTCAGAAGTGCTCAGCCTTCTTACCCGCTGGGATATGGGCCCTTCCCACACTGCAAGGGGGTCAGGCGTGCGAGCATGTTTGTTTTGGGAAGCCTCCTTTCGTTTGGCTTACCAAGAAAACACACACACAAACACACACACACAAACACAAACACCAACACACAACACACAACACACAACACACAACACACAACACACAACACACAAACACAAACACAAACACAAACACAAACACAAACACAAACACACACACAAACACACACTCACAAACACACACACACAAACACAAACACGAACACAAACACAAACACAAACACAAACACAAACACAAACACAAACACAAACACACACACACACACACACATACACAAACAAAACACACACAACACACACACACACACACACACACACACACACACACACACACACACACACACACACACACACACACACACACACACACACACACACACACACACACACACACACACACACACACACACACACACACACACACACACACACACACACACACACACACACACACACACACACACACACACGCACGCACGCACGCACGCACGCTCGCTCGCTCGCTCGCACGCACGCACGCACGCACGCACGCACGCACGCACACACACACACACAAACACACACAAACACACACCCACACAACCACACACACAACCACACACACACAACCACACACACACACACGCACGCACGCACGCACGCACGCACGCACGCACGCACGCACGCACGCACGCACGCACGCACACACACGCACACACGCACACACGCACACACACACACACAGACACACCCACCCACCCACCCACCCACCCACCCACCCACGCACGCACGCACGCACGCACGCACGCACGCACGCCAAACAAAACATTTCGTGGGTCCCAATAATTTGAGAATCCGTGGCGTAGCACTTCGCGCATTTTCTTCCGTCAGCTCTGCCCAAGGCCTTAGGCATTGTTGTCGATCCGTTCGATGACTCCCTGGTTTCTGGGAGCTTTCTGAAGGCGAGGGTGTTTACATGGAGGGCGGCCGAACAAAAACCACGCGCAACGGGAAAGAAGAGAAGAGAGGAACAAAAACTAGCTTGCTTGGCAGGTGCAATTATATCGCACATTGTTCCTAGAAATTGTCAGGATATGTCAGGATCCAGGCGATGCAAAGCACACTTCCCCCAACTCCGCGCCCCGGCCATCTATTTTGTGATCTCATGCATGTTAAAGATTGATCCTGAAACAAAGCCAGGGGTCTTCATCACAAGTCCGCTTCCCACTCATGAGCTCGATAAGTTGCGCAGAAGCATTCGTATTGTGTTGCCCGGGGGGGAGGGGGGAACATGCAGAGACGAATGATTAAACATCCTGGCCCTTGGCAACCCAGCCAACGAAGCAAGCATCCGTAGGCTACCCTCCCCTTGCAAACCCCTCATGGAAACCGGGGGTAATGTTGGCACCTGATTATTCATGGGATAGTCAAAAATGCAAAGTGCAAAGTGTTTTTCCTTATCATGGTTCGCCCCCATTGTTGATGGGGGCCAGAATAATTGAAAGTTTTTTGCCTGGGGGGGGGGGGGGGGGGAATTCAAAAACAATCCACAAATCCAAAAATATCCTCAAATTGTTGATGGTGGCCCACTTGCTTTAAAGCATTCCCCTTTTAATTGGTTGCTCACACCCAAAACCCAAAGCCAGCTGAAACCTCTGAATTTTGAAAACCATCCCCAGCCCTGAAACTGCAAATTCTTTACTAAACCGTGTAAAAAAAAAATCAGGACAAGGGTACCCCTCACAGACCCCACTGAACCACAACAATGGCATTCTTTAGGGGGACCACATCAGTTGCAAGCCCCCAGCCCCCTCCAGAAAATAAACTGTCAGTTGCTTTACTCAAAAGCATTCCCCCTTCCATTGGTGGCCCACGCTCTTACCAGCACTCCCCTTCCAATTGGTCGCCCACTTGCTTAAAAGCATTCCCCTTTTAATTGGTTGCTCAAACACAAAGCCCAAAGCCAGCTGAAACCTCTGAAATTTGAAAACATCCCCAGCCCTGAAACTGCAAGTTCTTTATTAAACCGTGTTTAAAAAATGAAAAACAAAACAATCAGGACCAGGGTACCCCTCACAGACCCCACTGAACCACAACAATGGCATTCTTTAGGGGGACCACATCAGTTGCAAGCCCCCAGCCCCCTCCAGAAAATAAACTGTCAGTTGCTTTACTCAAAAGCATTCCCCCTTCCATTGGTGGCCCACGTACTTAAAAGCACTCCCCTTTCAATTGGTCGCCCACTTGCTTAAAAGCATTCCCCCTTTTAATTGGTTGCTCAAACACAAAGCCCAAAGCCAGCTGAAACCTCTGAAATTTGAAAACATCCCCAGCCCTGAAACTGCAAGTTCTTTATTAAACCGTGTTCAAAAAATGAAAAACAAAACCATCAGGACCAGGCTACCCCTCACAGACCCCACTGAACCACAACAATGGCATTCTTTAGGGGGACCACATTAGTTGCAAGCCCCCAGCCCCCTCCAGAAAATAAGCTGTCAGTTGCTTTACTCAAAAGCATTTCCCCTTTAATTGGTGGCCCACTTACTTAAAAAAATCCCCTTTCAGTTGGTCGCCCAATTGCTTAAAAGCATTCCCCTTTCAATTGGTTTCTTTCTAGCTCAAGCCCTCCCTGGCTGAAAGGCACACCCTTTGAATGGCTACTAACGTAATTAGTATTCCAACAAGTATGCTCAGGAAGAAGTGGTTGCAATACTAAAGTAGTATTCCAAAAAGTCTGCTCAGGAAGAAGTAGTTGCAATACTAAAGTAGAATTCCAAAAAGGAAGTGGCTGCAATACTAAAGTAGAATTGGGCCCCAAAATCCTCCATTGTTTGGACGTCCCAAAAGTGAGCCTACAAAGTTCTAGTACCTCCATTGGTTTGGGGGGGGGGGGGGGGCCGTTATTGATCAAGTGCCAACATTACGGGATAGACCCGACCCGATGTCTCTCTTACAAACGAATTCCGCACAATTCAATGCAAATATTACCAACATTGTGAGGCCTCGTTGCGAATCTTCCCACTCGTTGCCAATTCACGTAGCGACGTGGTCGATTCTTCACATGTTGTCGTATTTCACAATCGGGTCCATGGGACAGCTTCGTGCTGGCAGGGGATCGAAAGAATCCGACAAGGCGGCCCATAGTCCACTTGATAAGCACCCAGCTGGCCATCCCGTTTGGAATCCCTTTGCTCCATTGAATCGGATTCTGCCTAACATCAACTTTGCTCATGTTGCGCATTTGGTGTGGCAAACATGCCATCTACTATATTCGCCTCGGCCCCAAAGGGGCCAAGGGCGCTCAGATCTCTTCTCCAAAGAGAATCTTCGCTTTTCCCCTCCCCCAACCCCCTCCCCAACCAAAATTTTGCAGGCCCAAGTGTGTATGAAACAGGCCTTGCCCATCCAGCAACCCGCCCAAGCACAGCTCAGCCCAGCCCGCCCAGCCCAAGTTCCAGGCGCAACCAGCAGCGTAGTCCGGCTGCCCGGCTGCCAGCAACCCACCCATGGCTTCGCAGCCTCGTGACGAGCTTCAGGCCCAGCCCAACCAGCAACCCACCTCAGCCCAGCCTGCCCAGCCCAGGCCCCGGCGCATCTCAGACCAGTCTCAGACACGTGAGACTGGTTGTTGGACACGTTAGACAAACCTGACCTTGGCACGCTGGGCTTGCCCTCAAGCTATAAGCCTGTCTGACGTGCCCCAGCCCCTCAGTCCGGCTGCCAAGCAGCTCAGCCCAAGCTGGCCAGGCCTTGACCTCCTGCTTGCGTGGCCCCAAGTCATCCAGCAGGCGCAGCCCCTTTGGCGCAGTCTGAGACTGGTCTCAAAGTATGCCAGCCTTGCTGGCGTGTCTTACGTGTCTGCGACTGGCCTCAGGCCCAGCCCAGCCAGCAACTCGCCACCCAGCCTCAGGCCCAAGTGTGTATGAAACAGGCCTTGCCCATCCAGCAACCCGCCCAAGCACAGCTCAGCGCCCAGCCCAAGTTCAGGCCCAGCCCAACCAGCAACCCACCTCAGCCCCCAGCCCAACCAGCAGGCTCATCAGCCCGTGCCAAGGTCAGGTTTGTCTAACGTGTCTGACTGGCATCAGGCCAACGACCAGTCTCACGTATCTAGACTGGTCTCAAGCTACGCCAGCTACCAAGCCTGTCTGACGTGCCCCAGCCCCCCACCCAGTCCAGCTGCCCAAGCAGCTCAGCCCAGCTGACCCCAAGTCATCCAGCAGGCCCAGCCCCTTCAACGCAGTCTGAGACTGGTCTCAAGGTATGCCTGAGACTAGCCACCAGTCCCTCAGCCCACCTGCTGGCGTGTCTTACGTGTCTGCGACTGGCCTCAGGCCCAGCCCAGCCAGCAACTCGCTAGCCTCAGGCCGACCCGCCCAAGCACAGCTCAGCCCAGCCCGCCCAGCCGCAACCCACCCATGGCTTCGCAGCCTCGTGGCTGAGACAAGCTTCAGGCCCAGCCCAACCAGCAACCCGCCTAAGCAAACCCCACCCAAGCCCACCCTGTTTGAGACTCGCAGGCCTCAGCCGAGACTGGGCCTCACCAGCCTGGGCTCAACTAGCGTCTAGCCCAGCCCAGTCCGCCTGCTGGCCAGGCCTGTCTGACGTGTCTGAAACTGGCCTCAGGCCAAGCCCAGCCATAGCCCAGCCACAGCCCAGCCCCCCAGTGCGGCTGCCCCAGCCAAGCCGCTTCAGGCCCAGCGCGCCGGCTTGTCTGACTTGTCTGGAGCCAGCTTCAGGCCCAGCCCAACCAGCAACCCGCGCGAGCAAGCCCAAGACTGGCTTCAGGCCAGCCCAGCCAGTCACCCGCCCTAGCCCAGCCCAGCCCGCCCTGCCCAGGCCCCAGGCGCCGCAGGCCTTCCCCAACCAGCAGCTGGTCCGGCGCATGTGGCCCAACGTGCCCCAGCCCTTCACTCCGGCTGCCCAAGCAGCGCAGCCCAAGCTGGCCAGCCCTAGTCTGAGCAAGCAACCCACGCAAGCACGGCCTACCCCAGCTCCCCTTCGCTTCGGCCCCCAGCCCACAGCTTAGCCAGCACGCCCAGCCCAGCCTGCCCGGCCTCTCGGCGCAGGGGAAATACAACGGCGCACGCTACGGCTTCTGAGCAGGACGGCTTCCGAACATCGAACTAGCACGGGCGAACTGGTGCGGTCACAAGCTCTCAGTAGGATTCGGACCTTCCCAACACTGGATTTCGGTGTTCCTGACCCTTCCCTCAAACTAGGCTGGGCCGAGGCGGGCAACGCGAAGCGTTTACAATAATTTCGATCCAGGACAGGATTAAGCCTATAACATGGAATCCACCAGTTCCATTGTAGAGACACATTCCCCCTACACTCCCTGAAGCTAAAATTGAAGCAGTCAGTAAGCCTCTGTAAATGGAACCAAGTCTTTTTTTTCAGGTGTGGGAGCTTCCATGTTCGTCTGGGGGAGGGTATGGCCATGGGTCAAAATCCAAATCGTACCAGTGAACATCCCAATCCAGCCACTCAAATAGGTCCTATGGGTAAAAATTCACCTACCAAAATGGGTACCCTTGACAACGGTTTTGAGCACAGTCACTCGGACTCCAAGGGGCTCTCCCTGGATGTAGCGCAGCGCTTTCTGCAGGGCGCCGGCCCAGCCGTGGCGCCTCACCGGGAAGCTCCGGCACGGCACGCGGCCGTCCTCGCGATTCGGCGACGATTCGACCCGCTCAAAGAGGTGAGTCACCAGCAAAACCCGGTATTCGACCATCGGGCAATAGTCGGAGGGTGCTGGGGTGGTACTGGTGTTCTACCCAAAAATCATGTGATGCCCAATTGTTCTTCCAATCCGGATCTTTCTAGAAAACTAGCCCAGGGAAGCGGCCGGTTTTCCAAAAGAACGATGGTTGGAAAGAAGGGGGAATCAATCCTTAGAGGTATTGAAATCGTTGACCCAGGACCATGTAAGGAAATACAAAGGCGGCCGGGATTAGCAGCTGTTTCTGACTGGGATTGTCCCTTACCTTCACCTGCCCGGGGTTTGGTTGTGGCTCATGTGGCTCAAAACACAAGATCTAGGCTTACACAAACTTTAGTCCCTACGAGATCCGTCAGGGCGAAAAAACAGCGCGTCACGAGTGTCATGGAAGGACACACTCAAAGGCAAACTAAAACGTGCAGTCCCGTGGCGGTTTCAGTTGACCCGTACCCAACTCTTGGTTGCCAAGGAGACTTGGCAGTGTGGCAGGTGATAAAAAGAAATGTGCGCCCCGGACAAAGTTGAGTGGTCCGTGTCTTTGCGGGAAGCTTGAGTGCGGCATAGTGCTCCTCCTTTGACCACTAGTAAAGTTGTCAGTTACGCAATATGGCTGTGGGTCAAAAATAGGTACCCAAAATCGAGGGTCTGGACCCCCATCCCCGAGGCTTCTCCAGGGGACCATGCCTTCTCAATTCTTGGAACCGCTCTAAAGGGCGCTACACCCAGACATAAATTTACTTGATGATTGCTTTCCCAGCTGTCCCCCCCTCACACGAAGGTTCAACGCGCTGAGTACTCTTTCTCTTTAGGCGCTGTTTCACAAGCAATCTGGGCCCCTGGGACTGGAAATGGAACCCTGTTTTTTTCCCTGTGGTCAAACACCAGCTAGGATCCCCAAGAAATCAAACAGGGGATCCGATCAGGGCGACGCAGAACCGGCTTGGGGGAACCGCCCGAAAAAAAAAAAAAAAAAAAAAAAAAAAAAAAAAAAAAAAAAAAAAAAAAAAAAAAAAAAAACTGAGAAGGCACGATACCCCGGGGAAAAGCCGATGTGCGTTTTTACTGTAAGGTACCTCATTTTTGGCCATAGGCTTTTCCCAAGTGGACAGTGCCTTCTCAACTTTGTATATTTTTTAAAAAATAAAAATAACAATGAGCGAGCACGCAGAGGTTGGGGGAGCACGCAAACCCGGAGAAGGCCCGCAAAACCGGAGAAGGCCCGCAAAACCGGAGAAGGCCCGCAAAATCCGGAGAAGGCCCGGAAAAAATATGAGTCTGTTTTGTTTGGCGATGTGTGACGTGCAAATCCGCATCCATGGCTGCTGGTGATGCCTGTGCTGCTGCTGATGCTGGTTATGCCTTTGATGCTGGTGATGCCTCTGAACTGGTAATGCCTAAAAGTATCAGGCCAGAGCCAAGGCTGACAAACCAACATGCCAGCCCTTGAGAAGGCACGCTTATCTGGGGGAACCCGCAAAATCCAGAGGACGCGTGTCCAGACTTCCGACAAAATGGAACCCTGGTAAATGGAAACATGGACTAAAACCTGCGGTCCCCTGGTGGCTTAGTTTGACCCACACCCATATCTTGAAAACAAAGAAGTTCAGCAGCGTGGCCATGCATTCTGTCAGCAACCTCGTGCCAAAGCAAGGCCAGGAGCCATAAAGTACATATGCGTGATTCTAGGATCATCCCTGGGGGGTGGAGATCAACCCTAAAAGTTGCCTTGCGCTAGCTTCAGTTGCGAACAACACGTCGGGTTTTCGCTTACCTACAAAGCTTGGGGTTGATGCCGGGAAGAAAACAACGCAAAGATCTAGAAGTCCTTCTGGGAGTGTGCTTAGATCTGAGGGTGTTGTTTTCAGGGTCCTCATTACCTACGGGCTGACTTCTTGGGGAAGAACAAGGAAAACCCGAGCCCTTTGTGGAGCTCGCTCATGGAGATAAGTCCATATGACGAAAACCCTATCCGCAGTTCATTTGCTTTGCGCCAAACTTTGTCAGCACCCATTGTTTGGCTTCCTAATATGTATAGCGGACAATGTTCCCAGAATATACAAAACAAAGCCCGTTGTGTGGCTGCAACATCGGACATAGCCCACCCCATCTGCGGTCCTTGTCCGCCTCCGGGTGCTTCCGGAAGGCCCGCTCAGCCGCCACGGCAAAGGCATCGTTTTGCAAGTCCGCCCGCAGCACTGCCCAGGCCACGCGCACCTGACGAAGATTTTGGAAGCAACCCGGAAACTCGTTGGAAAGGTGGGGTCTGGTAAAGGGAAACCAAGGGAAGCCAAGGGAAACCATGAGGGAAACCAAGGGAACCAACCCAATTTTCTATCCTTGTCGTTTTGATCAAGGCTCGCAGCAACCCTGTTGTATTTGTGTCCAAGCTGAACCAGCACGACTGCTAACCGCCTGAATAGTCTCCAAGCCTGCGGGGCCAAGGATACCATGACAAGAGACTTGGGTGGGGTGTATGGGGTCCATTGGGATATTGGGCTTAGAGGTAGGGAACCTGGTGGGCTCCAGGTTTTGATGCTTCAAGGCGTATTCAGAAAGGGCAACGCATGTTGCCAAGAGAAACATGAAGTCATATGATAAGCTGCTCCGGTGCACATTCACTGCAATGGTAAGGCCTTACAGGGTGCAATTTGCGCAACCCATTTTGTCAATTGTTGTCAGTATTTCCAGGGCGCACATATTCTGGCCAATTGCCCTACGCAAAGAAAGAAACAACACACCCTCCAACAACATGCCACCGTTTCGCGGCCTCAAGTAACGGGGTAGTTGATGGTTGTTGTTGTGAAACAACCCCTGGCAAAAGCCTGGGTCAAAAAGTGCATGCCAACGTGTGCGCGTGTTTGGGTGTGTCAGGGGTGCCAGGATGCACTGCAATGTCTGTCCCCACGCTCACAGAACTAAGGTCGTATGAAAACCAAGTGCTGTTTTGAGCTTGGGCGGGAGGCTTGAATCCAGTGCATTCTGGCTTGAACTCCGATTCTAATGCTGGCCTTGATCCAGGCCTGACAAAAGGAGACATGTCCGGAACACAAAACCTGAGGCCTTCCGGAAACTCCATGAGAGAAGCTCAATGTGGACGCGTATTGAAGTATTGAGGGTGCACTGTTGGCGGCTTTGAAGGTACCAACCCCTGGTCTTCGCAGCGGCCAAAGAAAAACGCGCGTCGCCGAAATAAGAACCAACTTGCTGCATAGCGCTGGCTCCATTGCCACCACCAGCCTCGTCGAACCAGGACACTGCGTTCTTGGAGTGCGCGTGGCGCGCGCAGCAAAGGCTCTGCTTGGCCTTCCCTTTGCAGCGACGGGGTGGCTCCCCCTTCCTCTCGTGCGAGCCACGCGCGCAGTCACGAGATGTGCCGTGTGCGTCCCTGCCTCTTTTACATGACACCCAAAAGAGGTTTGTCCCAAAAAAGAAAAGTCCTCCTAAATCGGAGGGATTTTTGGGTTCCTGCTGGCAATCTGCGGAATTGAAACAAACAGGAAGCAACTGTACGGAAAGCCTGTGAAGAAAGAAACCGACAAGAGAGAGGCCGAACACCCCGTTGGTGAGGTCGCCACGATTTGCCACTGTAGTTGCCAATTCTTCGATTGATCAATCTGCACCTGGGGTTAAATAGAGGCTACGCACAAACAAAGGCAAATTCCATCTCTTGTTGGCGTTAGTTTGGGAGAATCAGGATCCCAAACAGGGTCAATCATGGCCAAACAAGCATCCATCGCCGCCTGCAAATTGGCAAAGTCTTGAAACCGGCTGGATTCAGGCTGGCTTCCTCAAGGATACCCCAAACATGGCTGGCTTCCAATTTGGTTTCCTTAACCAAAAAGAAGGGGCACCCAAAAAGAACGAAGCACCGCATGTTTGTCTCGGCGCGTCCTGCCCCAAACCTTGCACAAGCACAGCTCAGGCTCCCCAAAGCAGCGGTCCATCTGGGACGCGACTTTGGCGTCCTGCGGCCAGGGTCCCAAATGGGTAGACCCCCAGCAAAATGGACAAAAAGGGTACCCTAAAAAAATGACAGACCCAAAATGTTGACCCCTCACCCCCCCTCCCCCAAAGCTGAGAAAAACAGGAGAAAAAAGGGAGCCCTTATTTCGTATTGCGCCCCTTGTGAAAAAGAGGGGTTTCCAAACATGACTTGCGCTGTCGCTGAAAAAGGGAATATGTACGGACCGAACTTTCTTGCCAACGCGGAAGTAGCGCCTTCCAAAAGAGGCTGGTGCACTTCCGTGTGTGTGGTACCGCACTAAACAACTATGCGACCATGCCAAAACAGCCAGATGTCTCAAGTAAAGCACTTGCACAAAGCAAGTATGCAGAGCCAAACTGGCTCACTACGGCGATAAACCAGCCGCAGAGCTCTATCATACAAGGGTATCGCTTTCTGTGAGTCGCATTTCCATGCAAACTGCAAGATATTGTAATCGAGCCGGTAAACATGTTGGGTTCGTTTAGAATATGGCTCTCGATCATTGACCCTCTCAACCCGCAAACATCGTATGCAAGGTATGGTTTTTTGTTTTTCACACGTCACCTCAAATAAGGATACGCATAGAGAGTCATATCCAGTGTTTCCAGACAAGTTTCAACAATAATGCCAATCGGCGTCCCCTTCAAGCTCCTCGCATGGACTCAAACCAAAAACAAGATTTGCTTCTGCTAGTTTGGCTGATCGGTGGATCAAATCACCTTGGCCGTAGGTGGATAGCGGGGTTAAACGCAAACTTCACGGCACCCAAAGCATGGCGAAAAGCATGGCGCCAAATCACCAAAAGTTGCCTCAGCCCCAAAATCGAGCAGAAACTCCTGCCTCCAAATCTTGGGGCTAGACTTGTTCCGTGGTTAGCACGACAACTCCAAACGAAGGTAAACAATCAATTTAACACGCAGCTACTCCATGGTGCAAGTAGGTGCCATTCCTTTTTCTGCGGGGTAGAAAAACCGGACGAAGCCAAAATGCATCTACCTCATACGTGTCCTTTTAGGGTAGAGGATTAAACCACCAGGTAAACCAGGGCCATCTGCAGTATTTTTCTAGCAAAACAACCATAAAGGACACCTATGATCTACCTGCGCACTGCAGTTGCGCCCAACCGCCTCGTCCTCATCCTGCTTGGCCTCATCTTCCTTCTCCTCGCCTGGGCCCAAAGGCAGCCGTCGATTTTTGTGGCATTCGTTCATTTCGGCAAGAAATGCCTTTTTGAGGCTACCCCGCTTTTGTGGTTTCACAGAGAAACCAAAAGGGAAACCACAAGTTTATGGTTAGCACGCAAACTCACCTAATTTTCGGGACCGAACCAGGCTGCCAGCTATGGCCCTCTCGAAGAGAAAAACGTGGGAGAAGCGCGGCTCTCACTTGCATCGTACACAGAACAACAAATATGTATGTGTATTGTATATGTACATGTGGTGCGGATCATACCTCTAGCCAAACCTGCAAGCAAGCACTTCAAGGGGCGTCCTGCCATCACAGCATCTCATGCAGCTCATGATGCATAGCTTCCTTGCAACGAACATGTGGACCCTGGATGAATCAACCTGGATGAAAAAGTGGAGAACCAATCCCACAAAAAAAGTGAAGTGTCCCCTCTAAGCGGGGACTTCCCCTACCAACCAGGGGTTTCTTCAGCCAGCTCCACCTGGAAGCCATCGCCTGCCACCTCCATAGCCTCTTGCGAAGGCATCACGGCAGAGAAGAAGGAGGATGAAGAGCTCTCCACAGCTCTGCCCCCGATGCCTCCGATGCCTCCGGCGGTTCTCATGGGAAGAGTTCTTGTCTTAGGGTGCCAATGTGCCCCCCCAATGAGCACCAACGTTGCGACAGGGCATGTTGATTTTTCACAGCTCCATTGGTCCAACCGCAAGAGAAAGTTTGAATGGATTACCATGAAACACATAATAATCCGGGTAAGAATACACCCTCACCCCTGCAATTCCGTCAAGCGCATCACATACCGCTTGCCTGACAAGCGCCGCACCATCCTTCGCGAGCGCTTTGCCCTCAGCATAGGCATGACTCTCATATATATATATATATATGTTATATAGTGGCATGGACGACCCAACGGACATTGGGTAAGGCCCTCTTGAACAGTTGGAAATGCCCGGTTAAATGTGTAATTACTTGTTTTTGATGAAGGGAATGGCCCCGATGCGGTTGCGCTCGGTGCCAGGCAAGGGCCTTTCTTCATCGGACTCCTGGCGGGAGACAAAAAGGGGGTGTTGTCTCTGTGTGTGCGTGGCGTGCGAGTGCGGGTGCGGGTCAGGTGCGGGTGCGTGTGCGGGTGCGAGTGCGGGCGTGTGTGCTTATGTTTGCGCTTGTGCTTGTGCTTGGCGCTTGCGCCTGTGCTCGTGCGTGTGCTTGCGCTCGGGCTCATGCTTGTGCGTGCTTGTGCTTGTGCGTGTGTTTGTGTGTTGTGGGCGCTTGTTCGTGTTGTGTGTCTCTGTGTCTTATGTGTGCGTAGTAAGCCTGCGTGCATCCTGTCGGGCACGCGTGCGCACGCGCGTGCGTGCATGCCTCTGCGCGCCCGGAGGTTTATTGTTGAAACTCTCAAACTCTGATGGAAGTCTCTCCATACAACCTGACTTTGCTTCTGAGCTACTCTCCCAGAGCTTTCTGTGCCCCATACAGATGCCAATCGGTCCTTGGCTTCTGACACTTCTGTCCTCGGCAACCCATCGTGCCAGAGGAGATTTTTTTCGACCCCTTGAGCAGCAACTTGGGAGTTATTGATCAATGGTCCACATCACTTGCCCTCGATGACCGTCATTTGAACTTGGCCATGCTTATTGTTGTTTTCTTCTCCCTAAGGAGCGTCTCACACCCGAACACAGGAACTTGGCCATGCTTCACAAAAGCACTACCCAAAACGAAAAACAATTGGAGGGGGGGGTCATAGCTACTCACAAAACTGAAGTGAGGGTTCCCAAGAAAGGGACCTTCATCGGCTAGCTCGCGGCTACATCATTGCCCAGAAAGGCAATGGTCAAAGCTTCAAAACATCCAAAAGGAAAATACCGTAGCTGGGCCACGTTCAAGAATTATTCACGCACGTGAAACGAGTGTTCCCTTTGTGTAAAACCGCCTCTTAAAAGAGAGATAGCCCGCCGAAAACGTCAACGCCGGCCATACCTGACGCCGAGGTGCTGAATTGCAGTCTCCTGCCGCAGAAAAAAACAAAGAAATGCCGCTGCACAACTTCTGGTCACTTCCACTATCCAGAGGTTGACACAAAACCTTCGAAGCGGCCTGTTGAACCCAGCAAAACGGACCCGTGCATGGCGTCCGTGCGGTCTTAATGGGGGGTATGTTACCTGTTCACGGTCCGGCTTAATGGGTCCACGGTTGATTCGTTTGAATACTATTCAGGCTAAGAAACATTTGTAAGTTGACCAACACGATTGGCGACGGGCACGTGTTTCATCACTAGTGGCATGGGAATGGGCTTGCCGAAGTCCCAGCGAAGACGTGCTGATGAGACGTCACCCAAACTTATCATATTATGGTTGTTGCCTAGCATCTCAAGAACCTTGCCCGTAGCTCTTTCAATGGTGACCCGTTCAAAAGGGTCTGCTGGTTGTTGCTGCTGGCGTGATGCAAGTCTCCCTAAACATCGGGTCTCAGTGCTTTGCTCGTGCTTGGCATCCCTCGAGGCTGGCCAAAACACGCATGAGCAACATGCTATTTGTGTTGTTCCCTGCGACAGACCAAAAGTAGACTACCAGAACAGTGTCCGCGTGATATATTTGCCGACTTATGAGCATGGAGCGGCATAGTGTCACCATCGGGGCTACTAACATGCCACAATCAGTCCATCGAAACAGCAGCACTGCAAGTGTACGCCACCGGCATCATTGGCGAGGCAACCGGATTTCGTGGGCCATCGGAGGCGCGAGTTTCCGCTGCCGGGGGTTTGGGGGGGGAGCAGTGAATGTTCAACGAGAAAGACCGGGGGAAGGGCAAGTGCTGGGAGATGGCAGCATGCAACACAGCTTTGCCCCTTTTCAGCAACCATGCTGGAGGACCTTCCGCAGGTGTGCATCACATGCACCATTTCACTTTCGAATATGTCCGCGGTCTTGCCCAACTGGGGGCTTGTGGTTGGCCCAGAAGCACCTTGGGCAATGCTTGACTCGTCGCCGACTGTGGGTACTTTGCGGCAACAGGACAGGCAACGACGCAAAGGGCAACCTGCTTTTGGTGCTGTCAGTGGGGTGCTAAGCAGGCGATTGCGGGCGCTGTGACGTGACGGGCCAAACTCCATCCAAAATCTGAGGCTGGAGTGTAGCAGAGCCTGCACGAGTATGTTTTTGCGTACACGCATCGCAAGAGGCAGGCCGTGCCAATGGCAGAAAGTGGGTGTTTTTTCTTATCAAGCTAGCTCGGACCTCCTATGAGGGCTGGAAAAGCGTTTCGGACGCCTAGATCCGGTATAGTTGCGTGTGGAAACAGGGTGTTTAAACGAAGGCGCTTACAAACAGAACGGTTTTCATGCGTTTGAGTGCGCTGAATCAAGCAATCAATCAAAAACCACTAAACAACCTTGCGTTTTTTGCACCAGGCGCAAGAAAAATAGGGTGTGCCAAAAACACGGGTCACCTTGAAAACGCCGGCACCCAGTTGATGCATTACTTAAAGCCATGGCTTAACCATGAATCACCCAGCCACCAGAGAGCCTCCGCATTCCCGTGGGGTTCGCGCGGCCCTGCCTCCACAATCTCGGGGGTGGATGCCAGGTTCGAAGGCTGCGTCGGAACTTCCTGGAAAAAGTGCAGAGATGCAGCCGGCAATGCGCATGTGAATTGCACCACGCGCATAGAAAATATATATATATATATATGTAAAAAAATACATACACACATATACATATACCCTGGACTTCAAAAGGCCTTTTGAGAAACGGCCGTTTGTCGAAGAGCCATTTGTGGCAAGAATGCATGTTTTCACTGGTTCCAAAGAGCCATTTCTGGATTCCCATGGTGGCCAATAAGCAAGACCTCATTTCTGGATGTTGGCCTATAAGCAAGACCCTCCCACACAAAGCTGGCAATATAATATCTCCAAGTTCACATCAGCCAGGTCAGATTTTGACTTCCTGAATTTCCAAATTCCTTTAAAGAACTGGCTGTTCGTCGAAGGACCTAAGAAAGAACAACCCGCGTTTTCAGTGGCTTTGGACAACCGTTTGTGGAGCTCGATGTTGGCCAATAAGCTACCGCGGCCGTAGTCCAGCCATCATGCAAGCCCGTGTTCAAGCTAGGCTCGTTTGGATTCGCCTTTTGTCTTTGAAAAGGTCGCGCAGTTGAGCTCTGTAGGCTTCAGCTCTGCCACTTTAACTTGCATGCTTTTCAGGCTGAGGTGGCATTCGGCGGGATGTCTGTTTGTCCACTCCCCTAAATGGATGTTCCACTCCCAGAAATGGCTTTTCCACGCCCACAAATGGCTCTTCCACGCTTTGTCCACGCTTTGTCCACGCTCCAGCTTCTCCGAGACTGCTGCAAGACGCCGCACATTGCGCCAGCACGCACACGTAAGAGTGAGCGTTAAGGTGGCTTCTCAAACACATCATGATGCCGACCAAGCTCACATAACACGCAAGGCTTCTGGCTGCTGGGCCAGGACAACAGCCATTTCGGAAAATTCCGTTCGACGAATTTTAAACAGACGTTTGTAACGACCCTAAAATGGTCCAGCATTTCCTTAGAATGGTTGAGGGTGCCTAGGCCTTTTCAGAAATGGGCGAGGACGCCCAGGGCTTGTATATATGTAGTTTGCTTTGCTGAAAAGCTCTCAGTGCTATTGGCCAAGACCTTGAAAAGGCAACCCCAACCCACTGAAGCACACTGCCTCGCAAAGCGATGCCATATCTAAGAGCCATTTCAGAATTGGCCGTTAGATGTTCCTTAATAGGCCGTTGGTGAAGACCCACAAATGGCCGAGCATTTTCTTAAAATGGCCGAGGGGTACCAGGCCATTTCAGAAATGGCTTCCGACGTCCAGGGTATATATATATACATTATATATATATATATATATATACATAGTCATACACAGCTATGTGGCACACGGCTCACAGAAGCCCCTTGTTTTTGTTTTTGTTTTATTGACAAGCCCGGGGAAGTCTTGGACGAAAGTCGATGAAGTTAGTCATATGCAAGCTTTTACTACTGCCGTAGACGTATGCTTTGAGATGATACAATGAGAGGCAGAAAGCTACCTTGGTCTCGCGCTTGAGTCGACTCCCATGCTGGACCTGTGAAGAACGTTGAGGAAGTTGTCAAAATGAATGCTAGGATCGTAAGGTAAACCAAAAAAGGAACCAATACATGTCTATGAGTTGGTGTTCCACGTGCTATTTGATCAGCGCCCAAAACTAGTTCACGGTTGTTCTTGCACATTTGGTAAATGGCTTAATCAGAGCTCATAAGCCCCACAAAACCATTCTCAGAACCTAAGTTTTATCCCATCCCAAGCTCTCCTCCCGGCTCTGCTCCTGGCAGGGAGGGAAAACGAAACTCAGCCATGCCACAAACCCTTGGCAACCTGCAGACAACACTGTGTGATTGATAATTTATCCGGGGGCCCTTTTTGTACAATGGATTCCTCCCTTCTCTTTGATGAAATACTGGGGGCTTTGTGGTTTTGTGATTGTTGTGCAGCGGGTAGAAGGCGGCTTGCCTGGTGCATTGCGGTTTATCAAATGTGGCGGATTAATGTGTTTACACAGCCATTGAGACTGGCAAGGCAGTACACGAAGCTGGAGCCTTGGTTTGGAGGTTGCAGACTCCCTCGTCAGACAACCAGCAGTTCGATCCCAAGCACCAAGCCTCTGCAACACCGCAATCCATTGGGTGGGACGCAGGAGTTCAAGCACCGTGCAAGTCGTCTGCAGAAGTTAGTCAATCCAGAAACTGCAACTGCATACAGCCGATGATTCAGAACACTACCCCAAATTGCTGACTTCTTTGAGAGCGATGCCTTCAGGCATGAGGTTGATTTACCAGCAGGTGGGCCGCTGCAACTTGTGCAAATAAATTGAAAGCAATGATTGCCACAGACTTGCGGACAAGTGAACTCCTGTTTCATACCAGAGGCACGTAGGGACAAACCGTTCCATGGATTAGCCTCGATTTCAGTCCCAGCGCCAGAACGAAGATTCCTTAATATTGGTAGACATGCGCACTCCCTAAAGTCCCAGAGATCTTACAGGGGCCACCTGCCACGAACCCAATCCCGCCATTCCCTTTGGAATCAACCGTCGTATCTGAACGCGCGCCTCTTCCCGCCAAAGGCCTGCTAGGACCTGGCAAACGAGCGAGACCCTTCCTATCGGGTCTTGTTTTACACCATGGTGTTCCTTTATTGCCGCGAAACCAGGGGTACCCCACAAAAAGACGGACCCATATTAGGGCCAATACTCGACATGGAGGCTGTGGGATACTATAGAACCGATGTCAGTCATGAACATCGGAGAACAACAACCTCCTCTAGGAACTGTTTGGGCCTCTTGCATTTAGCGCGTGGACCCCTTTGACATGGTTTATGCAGGTTTCGTCCAAAATGGGCCCAACAAGTGGCGATGGCCATTTATTGGGATCTGCATTCAGAGCGCCATGTTCTTCCCAGATAACCATTCGCAACGATAACTCTGATCTCCTTTACTGTACAAGCATACAACTGTCAAGATACATCATGTGTCCACACAGGCGGTTTCCCTTTTTTAGGCCATGCAGACATTTCTCCAGGTGCAGAAGTTTCTGAAATCGCTTTGCCGGCATGCCGTTGCAATCTGCATGAATCGCGACCTCTGCGGCTCCCATTCGAGAGGACTCCCTCGCCTCGAAGGGATGTCTTCACGGATTGTTCAAGAAACTGCGACTGACAGTACTCTTCTGGTTCCGCAGTTTCTGGTTGAAACCAAGCAGCACGGGTTCCGCATCGTCCCGATGGTTTGGGGCGATCAAACCTTCCGCCTCTGCATTCTTCTGCATATTTTGGAAGTGGCTCTCCAGTGGCTCCACGCTTTCCGCCGCCAGATGGGCGAAAGTCCTTGGATTCCAAGGCAAACGTTTGCAAAATGGTGTGAGGAATGTTGGGATGAGGGAATCTAAATGGGTGCGGCCTTGTTTTGAGGAAACCCCTTTAAGGGTCTAATAAACATTCTGAGGTTAACTTGTACATTGACGGACCTAAAAGGGCATGCAGGTCTTGAAAATATTGTTTCACTGTGGCTTTGAAAAAAGAGAGGCCAAACCACAAATGACGTCCTCCCCAAATTCAATCTTTAACCGGGGGCATGGCAAAACAAAAGCCACTGAAGAAGCGCTCTGAATTTGCAAAACCGAAGCTGGCCAAGACTCTGCATGAAGTGGACATAGCTCCTGGGAGTTTCAGCAACAACTCAGCCACTACGGCAGAGCATTCCTAAAACCTCCAAAGCCAACCCTGAACAACCCTAAATCCTAAGCCAAAAAGGTGGCAGTGGCGGTTGCATGCAACACGCCCCATCTCACTAGCATTGACCAAGCGCGGTCCTGACCCGTCGAAAAGGGTCAGCGCCTGCCATGCACCGCGCATCTCAAGCTTTGTGTTCACAGTTGCTGTCGCTCACAACGGAGGGTAAATAGCAATGTTTCACCTTCACCCGACCGGGAATGAGAGTACCTTAAGCAAAGGAACATGGGCTTGCAGTCGCAAACGAGATGAGGTGCTTATGTTGGTGCAGGCTGCAGGCTTACTCTTATTGGGCTTCTGGCCACTTGAAACAATGTGCACACGCATCACTACCTTTTTCGTCCATGGCTCCCGATGAGTCGAGCTCAAAAGACGCCTGACCCCGAAAAAGCGCCCGGCGATGATCAATTCTCGTCCACTGTGGGCTCTCCGGCATAGACGTCGTCTCATCTCAGGTCGCCAGGGAGGGCACGTCAACTCCTTGGCAGCGGCCAGTGTGGCTGAAAGGTCCGGCTGCGCGCCTCGCTCCATGTCCAGAGCACGTGCCGATCACAGCGTATTTTTGCAGAAGTCTTGAAGCGTCCGCCAAGAGGCCAATAAACCTACTTATTCAGCATTGCGTCGCTTCTTCTCCCGGCCCTCCCTGGCTCGCTGCAGGTAGAAGGCCACCTGCACCAGAGAGTGGCACGACGCATGCAAAGCTTTGCTCAATACTTCATTACCGTGCGCAGGCAAGCGGCACATAAATCAACAACAAAAGTTCTGTTTGTTGGGGTCTATCTGCCATGAGCAGAAAGAAAACGATCCAACTACGAACTCGGCGCGTTTGAACACCACTATAAGAGGCCAGAAATACGCTGGACACTGGGGCATACAAATCGTCTGTACGGTCGTATGCTGCCGGCAGCGGGACGGGACAATCGATCATCTGCTCAAGAACAGTTTCAGAAAATGGGGTGGGAGTGATGATACATGTTAGCCCCTTTCAAATTAACGACTCCTCTCTCTAAGAACAAATCGAATTACACCGGCGGCCGCTTCTATTCATAACTGGGAAAGCCCCCTGCTCTCATTGGACGTCGACCCAGAATTGCAGGCTAAGAGCGGTCAACTCCGCATGATGTTGCACCTGGCGTCTGTCTTGGGCTATCGCTAGTGCGTGGATCAGGATCTGCTTTATTCTGTTGTTGTTACCTGTCTGTTTCTCCTGGGATAAGTTCTTCCGACTGATTCGTCGTCGTTGCCAGTTGTCTCCTCATAAATCGGAAGAAAGCCTGCACTTGGTGAAGGTGTTGTTTTCGATGGCTTGGTAGAAGCGGCCATCGAGGCATCACCCCCCAGACAGGTGAGCGACGGAGTCAACGAGGCCGGATGCTGAACCTTGACAGGAGGCTCATCCGGTTGAAACTGTGGGGAGCTTGGTGAACTTGGGGCGAGGCGAAGGGCATGGCGCCATGGGAATAGCGGACACATCACCAGAGCCACCGGAAAAGGCCGAAGAAGCGGGAGCCATGGAGGCGCTTCCCCAGGAGCCAGGTGTTGTCATTGTCCATGGGCACATGCCTGATGTGTCTAAGTCCAAGGTGACCGGCGGAAACCTACGCCAGCACTATCATCTGGTACCATTACAATATCTGGCGGAAGCTCAGCAGCTGATGCTGGAATATCATGGTAAAGACGCACAAAGGACCACTCAGATATGACAAGATTGGCTAGGTGTCGCCGACGAACATCTGCCACATAGATTCCGCTGTGTTAAGACCATGCTCGTGTTGTTGTAAGCGGGGCCGAATACCAGGGGTTGCCCTATAACGCACACAGTGATTGAATCGCAGAGTCGATTCAAGAAATCTCACATGACGGCCTTTCCCGCTGAAAGTAAAAGCGTAATATTTCTAGACAAAGCCACTGCGGATGTATTCATCCTGGGCTGGCATGCGCCAGGTTGTGGTTGTGGCCCCATGTTCGACCTTTGTCGAGCGATATCATGAGATATCGTCACACAGGGAGGTTATCCAGCTTCGAATCGAGATGGGACCCGGATGTCCCGCTTCTTTCCAACAGCGACAGCTATGGGGCGACAGCTATGGGTCTTATCCAACCCTGGTTTTGGGGCAACAGCTATGGGTCATTGCAAGTTTCAGGTGAAATCCGAGAAGAGGGCCATGAGTTTTCTCGGCTTCCTACCAGCTTTGGGCGCTAAATAGGTGGACATTAATGTGCAAAAAATCCTCCCCCCCCCCCCACCCTTGTTGGTTTGCCTTTGAACAACAAAAACTCGGTTGCTTTCTGCTCCTAACAGTTCTTAATCTTTAGTGGTTTAATGGGGAAAACCCATTAGTTGGCAAAAGGTGTTCAAGTCCTAACATGCCTTGGCAAAATGCAACCAAGAAAAGATCATCCGCCACTCCGACTCCCGGCGTTTGCGGTGCGCCCGGCCGGCTGGTCGCCGTGTTCCGCCAGCTTGGCCAGGTCCAAGCGCCGGGCGCTCCGCGCGCAGCCGGCGTCCAGCTCCAGCCCCAGCGCCCGGAGGCCCAGGCCGTTGCTGAGCGCCAGCACGGTGCCGCGGCCGCAGAAGGGGTCCACCACCAGATCCAAACCCGGCTGCGCCTCTTCTCTGAGTTCTTTTCTTCCCCATGTGAGAGAAATCGAGGGTGGAGCCCCAAAAAAAACGCACTACCTCAGAGTTCCCATTTCAGCCATTGAGAAAAAAAAGTGGTACCAAAAAACAAGCCATTTGAGAGAAATGGAGGGTGGACCCCAAACAAATCAGCACTACCTCAGAGTTCCCCCATTTCAGCGAATCAAAAAATCGGCTTCCCCATTTGAGAAACAGAGGTGGAACCAAAAAATAATTGGCCCCCGCGTGAAAATCGCTATCCACTTCGGGGGTTTCGACTCGCCTGCTTCAGCCACGCCAGCACGAGGCCCATGGCGTGGGTTCCCATGCCTTGCGCATAGACCTTGCGGCCCCTGGGCAGCAAATCCGGGACGGCGCACCTGGATAATGGCAAGATGAATTAACACGGAGGTGTCTTAAGATGGGTGTCTTGAGATAGACTCCCCATGTTGATGCCAATAAGGAACTTTCCCTGGCATTACTTCTAAGCAAACTAGATACTATCATGTTATGAGCATTCTCACCTCACATCTGCAACAGCAGTTTCAGAGCAGCTAAGATACGTTTAGATGTGTTTGTTCTATTAAACATAATTTGCTTCATGGCGTTATGAAGTTTCATAGTCCTACTAGAACGCGCAACTAAGTTAAGCTTCCTAGGAGAAGTCCTTAAACATCTCACACATGAATCTACTGTCTTTAACATAATATGTTACTGTCTTACAGTCTTTGTTTGTCCAGAATGACCAAAGTGCTTGTAGGAGAAAATTCCCCGAATTTGCAACCTGCCATATCCATATCCTTAAACGCTAAAACGGGTATGACAAATTTTCCCAATATGAGCTTTGAAGTACACCCTATACATTGGGGAATAATAACAAAGCGTCGTGGTGAACGGACAATCATCAACACATGGTCCTTTCCAAATAGATCTACTCATATACCGTACTTATCTATCATTATTTTATTATCATACTTTGAGTTCTTTTGTTGTGTCTTGTCTTTTTGCTTTTGTGCTTTTACCCCAAGGGGTTACAGGCATCCTGCCACAAGAAGTCTTCCCTTGTGATCGACAGATCGCTACACCACGCACTTTAGGTCTTCTACCAAGCCAACGACTCCATGTTCTCTGGAGAAAAATGAAGGGTCTGGAGAAAAATGAAGGGTCCTGGGATGCTTAAGCCGGGTTTCTTCTCCACACAACGAACAGTCATGGGACTGTTTTCATGATGGTTCACTATATCTTCAACCTCCACAGCAGGTTGTGAGCGGGATACTGCAGGGTCAGCATTGTAGAACCTCGAAATTGTTTTACTGCTTTGGTCATATGAAGGGAACGCCCCTTGACGCAACATGGGTGACACTCGAAATTGGGGGGGGGTAGCGGTGGTTGGCTTTCTTTGGCTTGCGGGCGCGCCTGAAGTTGACCACTCCGCCCACTTGGAAGCAGAGCAAGTGAGAGAAGTCCGCGCTGGCACCGCGGCGGTCAACGCCCACCATCTCCGGGTCGAAGGAGATCTTGTGCCAGAGCCTCAGTGACTCAGACGCTGTGGCCAACAACGGTTGAAATTCTTACAATCTGCACACTTAAAGTACTACAGGACCTAAGGACACGGTGAGGAATCCCCGAAGGAACCTTCATGGGGTTCTTTTACCTGGTGACCCTTTGCACAGACTTAGCTGAACAGCGAGGGGGTGGAATTGGGGGCCCCAATTCCATTTCTTCCAAACTTGCCAAATGAACAACGGAACTATGGAGTTCCAGCGGTCACACCGGTTCTTGAGCAACCGCCATCCACTTTTTCGCGGACCCCTGGAATGAGATTTCTGGCCAAACTCCCGGCGCCCAGCCATCAGTCAATTGAACTGGTTGGTCAACAGTAGTGTTCGTGTGTGCGACTGTGTTGCTGAACATGTTTTCCCAAAGCGAATGAAGGGAATGGTGTAGAATTGGCTTCCGGGTAGTGTGTCTTCCACAGTAGGTGCTCCAACGCAAGGCCAAGCTTAGTTCCATGGTGCTTTAGGGGACACCAACGAAATAGCCATGGAGAAGACCACATCAACGACTTTGCTATGATGAATGAGAGCTGTCAAGGGAAATAACCATGAAATCAGTGGTTTTAGGGTGTCAGGCTTTCTTGTTTGGTCCTCTTTCCTGTTCTTCTCTCTGTACGAAAACTCATCCGCGAGTGTGGCCCCAAGGTTGCCACATCGAAACATAGTTTTTAGCCTGCAGTGACAACAATGCGGAACTTCCCCTTCTCTCAGCAACAGAAAAGGCACAGAGCCTGAGCCCCCGCGATGAAACATGATCCATGCTCCTCTTGGAAAAGATGTCTTGCAATCAGGCCAAAGGAATCAAGGCCCTTAGTACAATGTGTCAAACCAGGCAGGAACGATTTCAAGCTAATCTTGATTCATAAGCGTTTCGTCAGGAGTGTTGGCACGGCTGCACAGAAGCAAGGAAAACTGCCTTCTTGGTTTCC